TAAAGGCTTAAGTGTACCCATGGCTAGAACGTGGTAGAACCAAGATTTGCACACCTGTTTCTATACATCTTTTATACCATAGTATGTTGCCATTGTTCATTCACTAAGTCATGTCTGACTCTTTACAACCCCACGGACTGCAGCACGCCAGGCTTCCCAGTCCTGCACTGTCTCCTGGAATTTGTTCAAACTCATGTCCATTGAGTCGGTGATGCCATCCAACCAAGTCATCCTTTGCTGTCTCCTTCTCCCACTCTCAATCTTTTCCACAATATACAGGAATTAAAGTGAAAGGCAGATACCATAAAAATAAAGGACAAATCAAACAGGGACTGATCTTCATCTTCAATGAATGAATGGTTGAACTGAACACTGATTTATCCAAAGCATGAGTTGCAGTCTCTTGGGAAAGGATTATGTACTTAAAAGAATGAATGAAGAATTTTACCAGCTATGGTGAAGTCTTAACCACTGGATCACCAGAAAAGTCCCTGAAATACAATTCTAGCCAGAAAATATTTCAGTCCCCTATTTTTCTATTTACCTATTAACTACTTGATTATCTTTTTATAGTCTATGAAAGAAACCGCATTGTTTTTGCTTGGTTTTTATTAATTTCTTCTCAAAACAGCTGAGTTTTGAGTGAAGTGTGTTGGTCTTATTAAGCATTACAAACAGCTATACTCACCTTGAGTTTCAAAGTACAATTTATCATCTGTTTTGTGAATCAAGGCTATGGCCTTGTTTACTACAGAAGTGCTGACATCAGACTGGATAACCTATTACTTAAAAATTTTAGGTTACATTGGGGCAAGGTGTTTGTGAGACAAATGCTTTAATAAAAATATCTGACAGGCTCTTGTATTAGAATAACTGCACATGGTTATCCATATCTCATATTGGCTACAGAGAACATTAAAATATCTTTCACCAATTTTAGAGGGATGGGCTACAAGGGAAGTCAGATTACTTCTGATTCTTTAAAATAAAAGGTCTTCTCATTTATATACAAATGTCAGACACACATACAAAATGCCAAGTTATATATAAATTTAAATTAATACTGAGTAGGTTCAATCACACAATAAAACAGTATGTCAAAGATTTGAGTTAGTTTGAAAAATTTATAAATTTTTTTTATACTTTAGAACACTGAAGTCTTTATCTTTTGTAAATATCTTAACATTGGTAACTTGTAGACTGAGGTTATTAATATCTTGTAAAATTTGGAAGGTTGCACTAATTTTTATCTTTATATAAAAAGTTAAACTAATAATAGCAAAGAAATCCACCTCAGTGAATGTACATATATATGTATATATATGATATATAAATAATATATCATGTGTATATATATATATATATATGGAGCTTCCTGGGTGGCTCAGTGGTAAAGAATCTGCCTGCAGTGCAGAAAATGCAGGTTTGATCCATGGATTAAGAAGATCCCCTGGAGGAGGGCACGGCAACCCACTCCAGTATTCTTGCCTGGAGAATTTCATGGACAGAGGAGCCTGGTGGACTATAGTCCACAGGGTTGCAAAGAGTCAGACACAACTGAAGCAACTTAGCACACACACACATGCTTATATATATGGTGTACATATTAGTTATATATATATATATATATATTATATATATAAGGGCTTCCCTAGTGGCTCAGAAGGTAAAGAATCTGCAATGTAGGCACTGTGATGCAGGAGACCTGGGTTTGATCCCTGGGTTAGGAAGATCCCCTGGAAGAGGAAATGGCAACTCACTCCAGTATTGTTGCCTGGGAAATCTCACAGACAGAGGAGCCTGGTGGGCTACAGTCTATGGGGTTGCAAAGAGTCAGAAACGACTGAGGAACTAACATTGTATCTCTCTCTCTCTCTCTCTCAATATATATATATATATATATACATACACACACACACACACACACACACACACACACATATATATAATACATACATTATTCCAATGTTCTGAAATACCAGTAAAGTAATGAAAATTCAATTTCTCCAAAGTTTCTTTTTATGGCCACATTATCAAAACATCAGTAACCACTAGTGAGGAACATCCTCCTAACTTTGATCAGAGCAGCATGAGTGACCAGTACTTTCTTATTCTAATTGCTACCTGCAAAGATAAAACTTTAAAATGGCAAACCCACTGATTGCAGAGCTGGCAAATGCATTGTTTCTCCTCCAGAACAACAGGTCCCTGCACTCTGCAAACTGTAACCTTCACCTCCATAGGGACCACTGCCAAGATATGCCCTCATGGACTTCTGTTTTATCAGAGTCCCTGAATTTTAGGTAAAACAAACTTGAAGCATCAGTTATCATGGTTATTTGGTATTGTTTCTAAGAAACAATTACAACAACAACAAACACAAACTGTCATTTAAAAAAAAGTAAAAAGGTTGGAAAGTTCCATTTTGAGACGACCATTGTTCTTTGAGAAGGTCCCCAGCTATGCAGAGTAAATGCAGTTTTTAAATTAATTATGTTAATTGAATGATAATTACTTTACCATATTGTGATGTTTTTTGTCATACATTGACATGCAGTAACTAATTATTTTTAAATGTAGTTCTTTTTTATTTGCGGGCGTGAATACTGTTCCCTGAGCAACTAAAATGAAATACTCATTTATAAATAAGGCTGACTGGAAAATGCTGGGTACAAATAGTTACTTATTTCTTAAATGTTCCTGTTACTGGCAACGATGCGTACTTCTTCTGATCCATGATCAAGTGAAGCTGGCATTTTTTTTTTTTTTTTTTGCTGTATATCAAGTGAATTGGTAATAACAACAACAGTAATAAAAAGGGTAAGTTGCCACTGTATGATATAATGGCTAACATCTTGGAGGTATTAATTATATCCTATTGCTACCTCACAGCAACCACAATTCACTTCTTCTTTCACAGAGAAAAGTTGCTTTAGAACTCTTTGGATGAGGTCCACTTTGTTGCCCTAAAGCAATACACCTTGGTTTGGAGCAGATTGAGTGAGTCTGTTCACCTATGAAGTGAGCCAACCTAAGAAGAACCTAGACTGTGAGATCTGATTCTAACAATAAAGATCCATATGGTCTAAAGGCATGTTTAGCTAATGAGAAGGATCTCTGCTTCAAATCACAGAGTGATAATTTTCTCATAGGTAATATAGAGACAGTAAAACACCAGGGCACTTAGTCAAACAACATAGCATTATTTGATTTCTAACTACTTCTTTTTGTTACCGGAATCTTCTAATACTCACCTTCATCCACTCCAAAACTATCTACTGCATATCTTGAATATAAAGAAAATGACCAAATGGTAGCATTTTCTACCAATATTATTCTTCTGAAAAGAGGGTTTTGCCTTATAGACTGATCTTTACAAAAACTTTCATCTTCCAGGTTTCTCTCCTATTCACTGTAACAGTGAAAATATTCTTTGGAGAATTCACATTGGCCTGAAACAACCTCCATAAATCCTAGTTTTGAGGATGGTTTATGGAAGTCACCTGATAGGAAGCATAAAATAAGGTAAGTTTTAAAAGAGTATTTCCACATATGGATGTAGCTATACACAAGTCTTTTAATGCACTGCAATTAGTTCCTGGTGATCACAAAATATAAAACTACAAAAAGATTTTCTGAAAATACTGCTTAAAGCCATATATGAGTTCTTGGGCCTTGAGATGATGTTTACTAAGCCATCGACAATCACAGATTCAAAAAGTGCTGTATCGAAACACTGAAATGGAAGTAAAACACAATTTGCTCTGGAAAACTGGTAAGTAATTTTACATGCGTTTTAGTGATGAAAACTAAAATAACTTCTGATGAAGGCAAATAAAACGTCTGAAATAAGTGTTTTCATAAACTAAGTTTCAAAAGAAAGGAAAATTTCTAAATCAATCTAAGCCTATATAAGCATTTGTAAGTAAACTGATGAATATCAGAAGCCTTCACTGGAGTATTTCATCCACAGACTGAGAACTTTTACATTCATATTGGCCAAAAAAGCATTTTTTAAATATTCTCACTGGGCATTTCCTTAACACTGTGATCATCTTGTAGAATGATTTCCATTGGCTCATTTTTTGAAGGAGAGTGAGGAGAGCTCTTTTCTAAACATATATTCTATAATTTTTGTAATATAAAGTGCTTCTAATTAACAATCTCTTTTCCAGAGTTTGAGCTACCCCAGCCTCAGAAGTTGAGGTTACACAAATACAGAGAGCAGACCACATTCTAAGATTATAACAACAACAAAAATGCACTACTGCATTAATAGATAGCTCCACGTTGTAGAACATTCTTCATATTCATCAGTTTACTTGGTAAGTAAACTGTCATGTAGGTGTTTAAACTGTTAGTATAAGGGTTTAATTCAGCAAGGAGGGGAGAGCCATTGTCTACTCAGACACGGGAATGTCTGGATTATTCTTAGTCAAGCATAATTCATCACAGAGCAGGTCTGCTGTAGCCTCTGTCTATAAGTTCCAATTCATGAAGCACCAAGACAAATTTCATATAACACAATATCAATGGCAAAGTGATTCCATGGCCTAGACTTTGGTTACTGTTATAGAAATGAGCCAGCCAGCCAGTCAGACTGAGGACCCATGCACTACACCATACAATTTGCCACGAACAGAACACTACATACACAGTGCAAAAAGAGACAAGAACAGAAGTCTGTCTGTCTTCTGAAGTCCTCTTGAAAAACGTCATCAGACATTTAACCAGTTAAGAAGTCATGACACAGATCATTCACAAATATCTTTGAAAGCCAAAGGGACTAGCACATCATCTAATCACAGCAAAATTATTTGCAAAGGATAATGTGAAAAATGTAAAGTGAGAGAACCTGCTTGCACTTTTTTCTTCTGTGACTCTGAAAGAGTATGATTTCTCTGTACACGCTTCTACTGTGTAAAACATTTCGCTTTGCCATCGGATCATTTCAAGGCAGGAAATAAAAATTAAAAAAAAGATGAAAAAGATTTTTATACCTGAGAAATCTGCTGCTAAGAGATCTACTGCCTTTAAAACCTTCACTTGTAAAATGCCGACGTCCTTCATATCTTTCAGGGAGTTCTGTAAGCACTGCGGGAGGAAAGGAGAGCCAATGAACACCGTTTTCTGATACATCGTTTAATGCCAGCAAGTCCTACTGGAAGTACCTTCTAGATTTATCATCACCTTTCTCATGCAAAGCTAGGAGAAGTTTCAAAGCTCCTTGTATCAGTCAACAGGGAACTTCAGCATTTGCAACAATCAGATTCAAACTGACTGAGAATTAATTAACTTCAGTTTCAAAATAAACAAATTACAAAGCACATGCAATCTACTTTTAACATTGCCCCCTGGTGATAGCACAGACATCCCACCAGGAAAACGGGTGTAAAATGACACTGATTCTCTGTTCCTTCTTCTTTCTCTATAATGAAACTTTTAAATCACCCCAAAAGGCAACATTATTCTGACTTAGTTAGAATAAACTTTATGGGTATCAGAGAACTAAACTTGGACCCTTCCTGGATACATATTACCACCAGAAAGAGTAGGGATGGAAATAGAATGAGTTTTCTAGTCCATGTTAGAGCCTATTCATTAGAGACTGCACATCCAGTATTGCTCTGTAATCATATTTACTTTAATTTTTACTTGGCATGTGCCAAAACTCTAATATACCTACTGATAATTCTTAAGCATTTACAGAAATAATTGTCTATCACACCACATCATTTAGAAATTGTGCAAGAAAGAGATAAGCAGCTAAATGCTCTTTGTCTGCCTCCAAAACACATCTGCTGAAAAAGATGTACTTTCAAACCTTTGGATACAATATTTCCAGCATCACTAGATAACTAAAAACCTGTGATAAGTTGATCCCAGAGATTTATGGAAGGGTAGTAAGGCCCTTATTATTTAGGCATTTCAGTTCAGAATCACAAAAGCTTAATAACAGTTAAGGTTTGCCTAACGTAATGTGCACCATTCCTAATAACTTTTAGAAGTTGCTTCTTCAAATAGTATTTTCAATCTTTAAAAAAAAAAAAAACAACTAGTATTTAAGATGGACACATTTGAAATAAAATATTTTCATAATTTTGAGATGAAACGCCTTTGAAGATGATCTACTATCAAAACCTAAAAAACAAATCCAGGGATCTGGAACTTGTATTTTGCAATGCAGTATTCTTTCCCTCTTAAACACTGGCCAGCTCTCTAGCTCAAACAAAACAAAACAAAACAAAGCACTTGCTCTTTTTATTTTGATTCTACCTTTTCAAACCTCTTTTAAATTAGTACTCCCCAAATCTTGAGGCATTATGCAAAGCAGTCATTTTGATCTTACCTAATGTCACCTTATAAATACATGAAACTCCTCATGAATTTGGAAAATTTTGTGATTTGTCCATGGGAAATTTGGGGGACTTTTGCTTTATTTTCATTTGCTAAAGTAAAGTCATCAAAGAGAATATTAAAAGTGGATTTTGTCAAAACTTCTTTAAAGTATGTCAACCTTGCATGCAAAATCTTGTGTTGTCAATAAGATGCGTGGCTAGACTTTGTACTCCTGAAGATAAAGGACTATTCAATTAATCAATACACCTTGCACAGTGAAGGAGTCTGGAGACACTTAAGTTTACGCTGAGAATAACACTCCCATTAAATGGGGATTCATCTTTGCTTCACTTCCATGCCACTTTCTTAAAATGCGCCTTTCATGTGTGTGGCAGTAAAATAAACGTATTGATTTACAAAGAAGATGGAATAAAACCAGAATGCAAATAAAGACACCGAGAAAGCAAGAACACAAGAAACAGTGACGAGGACAAACCCATTTGATTTAAAAATGCTGAGTGGACTTTTAAGAACATTGCAACTAGTTAGGCAAAAATTCATAAACAGTTCTTATCCAGGGGAGTGTGGAACAAGTCTCCCATGCTTCTCGAGGGCTTTGTTTTGCTTTATAAGACACAAGTACTTTCTCACTTGATCTTAAGAGGGTCTAGAAATGCATGCACAACATTGCAAATATTATTATTTGGTTTATAAAAGGCAATTTTTGTGAATTTATACTAAAGTTCTTAAAAATAATATAAATTATTATTATTTTTTTTTACAAAACAGAAACAGACTCACAGATTTCTAAAACAAACTTATGGTTACCAAACAGGAAACTTACAGGGAGGGGTAAATTAGGACTTTGGGATTAACATACAGACACTATTATATATAAAATAGATGGTCAACAAGGACCTACTGTATAACACAGGGGACCTCACTCAATATTCTGCAATAACCTATATGGGAGAAGAATCTGAAAAAAAAATGGATGTATGTACAAGTTTAATTGAATAATCTTGCTGTAAACCTAAAACTAACACAACAGTGCATTAGTCTGACCAAAAAGTTCATTCAAATTTTTCCTAACATCCTACGGAAAAACCCAAAAGAACGTTTCCTGGCCAACTCAATAAATCGACTATACTCCAATATAAAATAAAATTAAAAGACAAAATAAAATAAAAATACCTATTCATATATACAAACATGCTAAACACCTTTTGCCCCTTTGAGGATTTTAATTTTTCTCCAAAGAAATCCTGAATGGTAAAATATCCAAACACTTTCTCTGGCTTTTAAATAGGAAGGCGAATTCTAAAATCTACTTTCACCTTTTCACTAACGCTTTAACCTCCAGGTCTGATGTCTTGTTTTAGGAGACATACCATTGAACTTTGGACAAAGATCTCTTTGGCTGCAGTTTTTCAATTCCCAGACTGTGTTTCAGCTTAAATGTGGAGGTAGGCATGGGGTGGGGAGGGGGCGTAGCAAGGCAGATCACTCACAAAGCGCTGGGCGATCTGCTTTCTCTCGCTGGGGTCTGCCAAGGGGCACACACACAAATCTGAGACCGAGACCCCTGAACAGGGTGTGAGGGTGACCAGCATCAGAAGGGTCCCCAGGCAGCTTTCCAATGGCAGCTCCAAGCAATTGGCTTGCTTGAGTGGGAGGGCTGAGATATCCACTTTACACCTGGAAAAGTTACCAGAAGCAGACAGAAAAGCGATTAATGCGTGGCGGCTGCGGACCCTCCAAAGCACCTGATTTTCATTTCATCCCCCCATGAAACCTCCCGCTGTCTGGGCACTGGGTGATTGAGCAGTGAAGGTTGCAGGGGCTCCCCTGGCTGCTAACACTCCCTTGCGGCCCACCACACCCTCAGCAAAGGAGAGAAAGATGTCAAGAAACTCAAAGAAAAGTCAGCATGGAGAAAGCAGCAAATGAACCGAGAAGCATCAGATCTTTGCCAGATAAAGTCTGCAGAAAGCTGATGAGACCAAAACTAAGAAGGAAAAAAGTTCCAGAGTTTCAGCACTATGATGCGGGCCCTACAAGGCTTCTAGGGGGTTGTGTCATTTTTTTACCAGCCAAGAGAATAAGAGACGTTGGTTCAAAAAGAGGCAAAAAGACAGGAGCCTGTGCAAGCGGGAGAGAGTTAATGGAGAAACCATTTTCTTCCAGATTAATGCCAACTGGCGAGTTTTTATTTAAAGAAATGTGTTAAGGTGTTTTCCTAATAGGCAGCGTTCCGCGGGGTTTCCCCAGGTGGGTTTCTGTTAGACAAATCGAGCATGAAGTGCTGTTGATTGATCCCATTTCAGCGGCGCAGACAGAAAAGGCTGCACCCATCTGCTATAAATTGCATGTTTTCCGCCTCTTAACAGTCAATGTTCTGGTGATGTTGAAAACCTCAAACACATTTAAATACAGAAGCAAACACTGAAAAGGGGGGCTGAGGTGCTAAGCCATTTATTTGCTTTAACACGGAAAACCCTGGGATTGCTTGGACCTCACTTGCTTTGTTCCCGTCCAGGTGGGTGATGTAGCAGGGCTGTGTGGAGGGCGGGAGGGCACTGTGCGGGTTTCTCTCTCATTTGCCATCTCTAGTTACTGAGTCGGATGACTATTCAAGACTTTATTTAAAACACAGACGCACCGCCTCATAATATCGGACAAGGATAGATTCTTACCCCACGTCACTCATGCACTTTCAAAGTTTGCAGACAATAGCAAATAGGCAATCCTACCTCATATATAAAGCAATGACAGTTTTGAGCCACATGGATACGGAAAAAGTTCCAGTTAAATAAATTTGAAAGAAAGCTCGCAATCCCTTCCCAATTAAAGAGAAAAACTACCAATATTAAAAGTCTATGCCTATTTTTAGTACAGAATAAAAAATATTTTTACAGGAAGGGATATGTACCTATAAAATTAAATTTATGTGGGTATTTATTTCCAAATTACCAAAAGTGATTCCAGTTATAAGAAGAGGTGGCAATTAGAGCTTTTACATGTAATAAATTCATCATGTGTTTCTACTGGAGACATATTAAAAAAATTTATGCATACATATTTAAATGACCCTCTATGGTTTGAATCAAAAATTTTTCTGTAGTGGTAAGTAAGTTTACTACTGTGAACAGAGAGATGAGTAAATTTTGTAAGCAAGTATGTGAGTGGAGAGTTAATTTTGCTGGAGAAGAAATGTCAAGTGCTTTAACTGTGCCATTTCTACAAAACTAAGGACCTGCAAATTCTAAATAAGTAAAGCAGTAGTACATCTGTTTAAGAATATTTGCTAAGCATTACACCGTTATATACAGTTTCATTTAATAAAACTCTTTCTATGGGAGGATGAATGATCCAAATTGGTTTAAGACTTTTCTCTAGTGGTAACCTTAAAGAGGAGAATATTTATTTATTTATACTCCTATTTAAAGGAACAGCTTCCTTAAACACAGCAGTTTACTAATTTAAACAAGTGTGAATCACATCAAACTAAATATTTGGTTTTGTCTCAGAAATTACACATTTTCACAAACTTTTCAATCATTTCTGCTCACTAGGAACCTTTTGCACCTATCTCATATTTAAAGTTTATTTTGATAACAAAGAAAGAATCCCTATACAAAAAAACAGTCTTGCCTATTTTAGTTATAAGAGCCACATGAACACCAGGTGAGGTAATTTCAGGACAAACCTAATGGATTCTACATTCTCAGTTAATTAATGAGTGAATTCAATCAAATGCTTACTTGTCTTTTCTTAGTGACCTGAAAGAGCAAATTAAATTGATACAACGGCATCGGGTGAGTCGAAATTAATCCTTGATCCTTTGCACATGGATTATGACCCCAGTCTCTTAGGGTCCCTGCCCCATCATATGAATTAATCGATTCTTAAAACACTGACGTCTTTAGTCTTAAGAATTAATGTAAAACAACCTTCTCCCTAGTGTTAACCACCAACTCTAAGGGTGACTTCCTATGAACTTTCTAGAACTGAACTGCTCTCTCCCCATCTCTTCTATCCAGCTGGCTGCCCCATTCACTTCCACATTCTGGAAGAAAGGAGGGAAGAAGAGAGTAAGAAGAAATGACTCTCATACAAAACCCTTTCCTTCAGGCCTTCCATTTTTCTGTGTCAACCTCTGTCTCCAAGGCTTCAGCTCATCTTCACATTGGAAGGAGAACCAGAATGCTTGGGAGGTTAGTCAGAGGCAGAAGAAATAGTTACATTAACCCCAAGCTTGGAACTGGTTACTGTATGACCAGCAAAAGCAGTGGAAGAAAAAATAAGAACTTTTCTTCCATATTTCAAAACACTTTTACCATAATACTCATTGAATCTTCTGAAGAGAGGTATCATGTGAACAAAATGACCTTCTTCAGGTGTAAGGAAATAAAATCTTTAAGATATAATCATTCTGAAATACATTCACCAAAGACAAGTTTAATACAAAAATCTTAAAGGGAGACTCTGGGCTGCTCCATTCATTTTCTACAGGGTACCACATTCTACCCCAAGAAAATACTAAATAATCTGGCCAGCGCTTCAATCTTTTTCACCGCTCCTGAAGCACTAGGCACTCTGCTGTTCTTCCCCAAGGCTTTCTGTTACCTGTTTAGTAACCAGTTACAGGTGAAGTGCAGAGCTGGCCCCTGAGGATGCCTAGAAGTACGGATCCAGCCCAGACTCCTCAGCAACGCAAAACACCCCCTCCTCCTTCGCTCATGCCTGCTCATTCTTATAAACACAACTCACTCACTCATCAATTCTAGAATTTTGCAGGTATTGTCATATATGCTCTTTTCTCTTTTGTATCCCACAAATTTCTTCCCAAACTCTCTGCAAATGGCAAGCCCATATGAGGCTTGATGAAAACTAAGCTAAGTTCTCTAGATGCAAATTTTCTTTGAAAAATAAACTCAGTTTTTGGATACATGCTTTAAAAGGCTCTCATAATGAATGTTCCAATTATCATTAAAAACCACACCAACATTAATAAATGATGGGGCACGAAGATCACTTTTTCTATGAAGGGCCAGAGAGTGTTTGGGGCTACATGGTCCCTGCTACAACTACTCAACTCTCCCCTGTAGCATGGAGTCAGTAATAGACAACGGACACAAATGAACAGTGCTCTTTTCCAATAAAACTTTACTCAAAAACAAGCAGCCTTCTGGATTTGACCCGCGGGTCCTAGTCTGCTGACCCCTAATCTAAAGAAATGCTAATTATTCTACTGTGATGAATTACAACAGGGGAAGTATTTAAAATTTTTCCCAGGTTAGTAAATGACAGTACAGACACATTGATAAAGGTATCGGAGATAACTGCCCTATGAACAATTTAAAAGGAAAAATACCTAATAACTCACCATAGCCCAAGAGACTCTGGCCAACATATCCAAAGACGTGCTTGTTAACAAAAACCAATAAAGCAATAAAACTTATGAAACCCTACTGAAAGAGACAATGTGGAAAACAGTGTGCAGAGCTTCCATGCAAAACACACGAGTAATGAGCATTAGCCAATCAGGTATGCTCTCAGGGCGTCTCATGTGCAGCTCCATGGGGAAGGGGATTGACCACGTGTGGACCATAATTCAAGAGCTGCTACACACCGGCCCTTAGGGGACCAGGAAATCATCGTTCTGAAGTCAGGTCGTAGATCATTCAGTCCATCAGAGGTCCACTGTGGGAACAAGCGGTGGACAGGAAGGAGCAGGGCACTGGTGTGTCTGGGTCTAGCCAGGTCCAGCCGTGGTTCACGGGCAGGCGATGGAATCCAATGGCTTTGTGACCTCACTCCAGCTTTCTGCTCCAGTCTGATTGCCTGACATCACCCACTCTTCACGTTCCTTTCAAGTTTCTCAGAACCTCTTCTCCCTCCTCTAAGCCCATGTGGTCCCAACTTCCTGAAACGCTCTTTCTCCAATCTAGTCAGGCTAACCACCACCCGTGTTACAGGTCTCAGCTGAGATGCTCTTCTTCCAGAAAGCTGCCCACAACCTAGTGCCTGAGGACATGATCCACACGTGAACCCCCAGCTTTTGGTAGGATGTCTGATCCACAACATGCTCAGAGTTTGTTGAGTAAAATGAACGAACAAACAAAATGAATCCTAGTGGCAAAATAAAATTCAAAGTCAAACACTCCAAATTATAAAGTCAGTGTTTCTTTTTTGTTAACCAACTGAACATTTTGTAGAGTCTATTTCCTCCTCTATATAAAAAAGAAAGGGAAAGAAATATATGTACTGGACGCCTCCCAGATTTCAGATGTCTGCATTTCTATTCACCTGGAGAAAACAATGACTAAATTACTCTTCTTTATTTTTTTCCCTCGGCAAGCTTTATTTTTTTCTCTGCATATATTAAAGCCAGCCTCTCCAGCCCACAGGCAGTTAATGCGCTGATTTAGCATTGTTTCTGACCTGCTGTTCCTGTCTTTCTCCATTAATCCCACCACATTTTAATGTTTTAATTCAACACATAATTTTTACCATATCAGTCAGCCAAACCTGCTAAGTTCCACTTGCCATGATAGCTTTTAACCTCTTATTCATTACCATAATTCTATGTTTTATATTATAGACTGGTCAGCTTTTAACTTAAATGCAAGGGGGCAGAAAAGAGTCCTAGAGTTTTAAAAGCTGTAAATCTCAGAGACTAAGAATGGAGGTGAACAGGAAGCAAATGGTGACTGTGTCAAGCTTGCTGTAAAAGCAGATCAGCGACATGGGGTGTGATCTGCCCAAAGAAATAGCCCGAGTCTCCTGCACGCTGGGGTTACCAGTAAATGGGCAGCACGTCAGAGCCCCTTTCCAAGGCACCACGTGGGACTCAGGACTGGCTCTGCGGCAGCCCAGTGAAAAGGAGCCTGTGCAATCTCCTCCTTAACTTTTCCAAACTAAGTCTGCATGCGACTGTGCATGCATGCTCAGTCGTGTCTGACTCTTTGCAACCCCGTGGACTGTAGCCCACCAGGCTCCTCTGTCCACATAACTTTCCAGGCGAGAATATGGGAGTGGGTTGCCATTTCCTCCTTCAGGGCATTTTCCCAGTTGAGGGATAGAACTTGCATCTCTTGTGTCTCCTACATTTGCAGGCAGATTCCTTACCACTGCTACCTTGGAAGCTAGAATATTCTGTAACAAATTAATCACCAGAATCACAGGGAAATGTAAAATATACTTTAAGAAAATGGTATGATGATGTTGAAATGGTGCAGGTTGACAAGAAGACTAACTTATATTTCTACTCTTGCCAGTTTGTTTAAAAGTTGGGGCATGTTATATTTAGCTTTATTTCTTACTCCTCCTAAAAATCCACTGTTTCTGGACCAATGATGGACTCAAACGACTGTCTGGTGTTTTTTTTTTTTTTGGCCCATGAATAAACACCTGAGTTAGCAGGCACCCTGGATTGGGGGGTGGGGTGTTGGTTTGCCCAAGCACCTTCATCTCACCAGCCCTGACCTCCTCAGGAGGCTGTGCGGAAGCCCACAGGTGGACCATGAGGACAAGGAATTTCAGAAAGCTCCCCAGGACTCAGGAGAGCCTGGAGGAGGCTGGCTGCCATGGTGGCTGGGGAGGCGGAACAAGCCTCAACTATCACTGAGCTAGCAACCCACCAATGCCAACACAAGTGCCAGTTATGACCATAACTGACCACTGTCCCAGTCGACCACCGTCCACAGCTACAAAACCAACGTCGGTCAGGCTAATTGACACTGTTCAGTTCTCCAGTCAATAAATATCCTTCCCATCACATCCTGGAAGACAGTCACTGCTCACTTGTACCAAAACACACACACACACAAAATCTCTATTCTGTTTTGAATAAACAAAATTGAGCTGAATTTTAAGCAGTCATATCTCAAATACTTAAATAGCACAATTTAGTTGTGGGGATCTGCAGTTACTCTCCAGGAAAAAAAAAAAAATCTCAAAATTAATAGGAGTAATAATAGCAACCAACAATAACATGGTTGCCGGTTGCCATGATGACCTGCATGTTGGCTGAAGACCCTGTTACACAGATGGAAAAACCACAAGAAAGGCCACTGCCCAAGGTCTCTAGCTTTCAAGTGTTGTGGTTACCAGATAGCCCAGGAAACACAACTCAAAGTGTTCCTTCTCTCCTCTCACAATGCCTGCCAGGGGAAGCTTCAGTGGGGGAAGACTCTCAGAGAGGCCATGCAGAACTTTAAATTGCTAGCATCATGGTGTTATCCAAAGACAAATTCTGAGATAGGTCTGAGAACATTCAACATTGCCAAAGACCCTCCAAACACAAAAAGGCAGATTTCTCTCCCAAGAGTTGGGAGAGAAAATAACTGATCCTTAAGAATTACAACAAAGAACAGGAAAACAAAGAGTGAACACTTTTATGTAAGAAGGAACAGTACATAACAAGGTCTGTGATATCCATATGCCAACACGATCTCTCCTTTCACTATGACAAGCAGTGGTGTATTTTAGGGGATGTCTCATCCCACCTCAAAGTTCACTCTGGGTAACGCTGTGTAGCCAACCCAAGAGACACTTTTGTTATCTTCTGTACCTCAGGAGAGGAAAAAGGAAAAGGATACCCAAAAAAATTCCATTAAAGCCCATGAAGAGGAAGGGCAGAATGGCCACTTGGGGCAGGTATATGTCTAAGTTACAAACAGGAAACAGTGCAAATAATAAATGAAGACCCAGATGACAAAACATGGCATAAGAGGGACATCTCCAATTATTTTCTGTGTCTGTAAAGAAACTTAACACTCATTTGAAAAAGCATTTCCTACTAGGTGAAGGAAACACAACGGCACAATGACACATGAAATGAAAGGCCATTACTCTCTGCACCTACTGAAATAACACATGGGCCATCCATCACCGGGGGCTCACATGCCATCATTCAGATAACGCTTTGGGACACAGAGTTCTCTGCATCTGGGCACTGACGTGACTTATCCATGCTCCGCTGGCTAGCACAGACTGTCTGATCCTTCTGCCATGGGTGTTGGCAGGGCACGGGGCTGTCACGTGGGAGGCGCTGAGAACACTCGGGTGTCTAAGTTATCCTGTGGGAACGGAGGAGCAGGGAGACTAGGAAAGCATCTGATAGAGAAAAATCAAGCATCCTGGACCACAGGAAGACCTCTCTCCTGCGCAGGAGAGTGACAGGACCTAGTTTGGTGCCCAAAGGCCCTGCAGATCTCCAGGGAAGCACAGCTACTACCTACCAGAGCAGCAGAGAACTGGGGATGAGCAGGCTATGCAAAGCAATGGAACCGGGGCCACGACACGCACACGGCAGGAAGAGCGCCCCGGTCTCAGTTGGAGGCAGCCCGGCCCTCCTAGCCAGTGTTTATGTGGGGGTGTGTGTGTGTGGGTGTGTGTGTGTTCCACACGATAACTGGGCAACAGTGCCGCCATCAGGGGGGTGAGAGCCCAGTTTATTAAGCACCCTGGGACAAACCAGACCATTCTGTCGACAGGGTGCCTCTGCAGACAGGCATGGAGGAACGTACCATGGTCTCCAAACTTCCTCCTGTGTGTCTCAGGATAAGTTACTGAGACGGGATGGGATGAAAGTGTAAGTCACTCAGTCGTGTCTGACTCTTTGTGACCCCATGGACTATACAGTCCATGGAATTCACCAGGCTAGAATACTGGAGAGGGTAGCCTTTCCCTTCTCCAGGGAACCTTCCCAACCCAGGGATCGAACCCAGGTCTCCCGCATTGCAGGTAGATTCTTTACCAGCTGAGTCACAAGAGAAGCCCAAGAATCCTGGGATGGGATAACAGCAGCAAGGAGAACTGATGTTTCATGCAACCACCTCTGCTAAGCATTTTACACAGAAAAAAAACACTGCATCCGGTTTGGGCTTCGCTGGGGCACAGCCTATTTTGGCCCCTAAATTCCTTGCTGATAGAAAAACAGAACATCTCTCGACCTCTGGGCTTCCTCATCTGAAAAATGAAGGGGTTCTACTGGATGAAGGGCTCTCAATCTTTTATTTCCAGCAGTAAAACTCTTGCCTGGAACGAGCCCCGCTGCAGCGCACAGGCAGAAGTGGAGATGCTCTGGTTTCAGAAGAGCCTGATTATCCTGAAGGCTGGCCCCATCGCACCTCCCTGAACCCAGGGCTCCAGGGAGCTTGGTTTGAAAAAGACCACAAACAGATGTTGAGAGCCCTTTAAATGCTGTATTCTAACTTTAGGATGGGTGGACATACTGGATCCCTAATGGGCTGAACAAAATGTAGTGGTCTGGGAGAAAAAACTTGGTTTCTGAAAACAGATAATCCTGACTCTCGCACTCACTACTCTGCCAAGATTCGGCAAACCTCAGCACTCCATTCCCTCATCTATAAAATAAGGATAGATAATATTGTGAACTTGCAGACTTCCCAGGAAGATCAGAGATGTATGCTTCCACCAGCATCTCCTTCATGCTGAGGCATGAGGCAGCCACAATGTGGGCAGAATCGCATTTAACTATAGTCTTCCTATAATCCTATAGGGAAACCATAAATACTTACAATATTTCTCATTATATACAAGCAAGCACCTCAATTAAGCCTGGAAGATCCAAAGTACACAAATAAAACTGCCCTGGCCTCAACAGATTTCATTATGATTTGCCACGAAGTTCACAGAGGACAGTGGAAATTTTCCATCAATTTGGAACACCTACCTTCATAGTGTTACTGAATTATACGGTATTTTCACTAAATAGCAAAACCAAACTCATAGAGTACATTGGAAACTTATACCAGCATTTCCTAAAGAGTCTGAGATGGGACATTATCTTTCTTTAGAGAATTCCTGACATGCAACGATTTTCTTCTGTTGTAATCAATACTCAATGGCATATACCAATTAATAAATGAAAAAGTCTTCCCTGGGTTAAGGTCCAGCTAACTTATAGCTCCTTGGGGTGGGAATATGAGGTTTTACTCTAAGCTCAACCAGATAAAGACAGTGCTATAGACCAGCCTCATGCAGACGCGTCTCCCACTGTTTAGAAGCAGAAGAGACTCACGTGCCCAAACGTTCCTCATGCTTTTTGCCGTCCTTTCCCCACACTTCAATGTCCAAAATGCCCATCCTGTCAGAGAAGTAGTGAAAGTCAAACTGTTCCCGCCACTGCGGATTTGCACTCTTACACAGTGTCTAGAAAACATGCAGTTATAATATTTATTTTCTTAAAATGGCATTCATCACTATAGCAGCTACACATTCATTTCATTTCTAAACAGCAGGAAGGCGATCATAATGATGGTTACGATCACTCTTACACAGTTAAAATTTTCCTTTTTGGAAATGAAAGGCATGTCGAGGTTTTAAGAATTGGCAAAACATCATACTCTTTTAGCTGACCCCCTGATTCACTCATTTATCCACCAAATTAGAAAGAGCACTGTTATCCCCAAAGAAACAATAAATGCTATAGGTATACAAAATATCTATTTTTGATACATGGATAATATTTATTACACATATATAATAATGACTATTGAGCTATGCTCTCTATATAATATTATATCTCAATAGACATTTTATAGCTGTTCTCTCTTACAAAAGATACTTCTAATTGGTTAATCAAATGGAAATAACATTTTTATTGGCACATCCATTTCAGCACTGGCTTAAGAACTATATAAATTAACAATCTGGGATCTTAATTAACATCTGTCAGATGCATTACAGGAGAAACCCATAACTTGTATGTGACTGCCTATTTCTAAATTCAAATTTCCTGAATCCAGTCACTGGAGTCAGAGGAAGACTAGGAAATTCCACTGCAGCCAAACCTAAAAATGAACATGCGTGGTTGGAAAACTCCACAAGTGTTTCCATGTTCTCCAAGAGGGATTTCAGACTGCTTATGTGTTTGATTCATTGGCAAGACTTTCTTTTCTGTTTAATTTACACAGAGATTCAATTTGTGAATAAAAAGTGAGCAAAAATGTGGGCCACTAAATACCAGGAACTCAGGGCCAATGATTAAATCTTGGGGCCAAGTTTCTCCGCATGGGAAAAAATGAACTGCTTAGACCTCAACTGCAGCCAACATCACATAACATCATCTACGCTGTTTTTCATCATCGTTGGGTTTAAATATATCAGATCACAGAATTTAGAAACTATGCAGGAAAAAAAGCCCATGTGATCACAAATTAAGTGCAATATTCCCCAAGGGGGAATGCAGCAGATACTGGACTCTTTCTACACTTCACCTTGGTCTAAAAGGGTAAGTGCGCTTAGTGATGAATAATTTTTCTATAAATCCTTACCCTGATGCTGGATGGTTAAAGGAATCTTAATGGAGAGCTGTGCTTATCCTGGATTCTCTCATTGCGAGGTACAGCCTAAAACCGCCTGCGTAAAACTATCATCTGTACATTTTGGCCATAACTTTGCTTCAATTTTTTGCATTTCTCATAATCAACAATTCTTCAACATGAGCTTCAGTTCTCTACTGCTTGCGCCAGAGTAAATGACCTTTAATATTTGATTTTGCACTGAAAGTTGTGCAGCAGAGACAACCTCTTGTCCCACTAAGTCATCCTCTAACTAGTCTGCTTCAGTTAAGTCCGCTACACTGGAAAGCCCCAACTGCAAATACCCTCGGGCCTATTTTCAAAGTCTTCCACTCTGATGTTTTTCTTCCTATGTGGCTTTTGGCAAGTGACTTAACTTTCAAGTACCCTAGTTCCCTCAATCCATAAAACATAGGAAATATTCCTGTCTGACAGTTATGTAAAACTAATTAATTACCATGGTTTGGAGACTAGGGTTTTTGAAATAAAAACCACACCGAATTACTGAGATTAAAAATTAAATGGAATTTGGATCAGTGGAATAAGATGACTGATTTTTAAAGACGGCTAAGAAAAAAAAACTATTACTTTTGTTCAAAACAAATCATTTTTAATACATTTAGATAGCTTAAAAAAAAAAAAACCAGAGCAAGCAAACAGCAGTGTTAGATGTCTATTTTTGGTGTTCATATCAACAAGGTAGAGAAAGCCAGGAGTGTGTAATTTTGAAAATACATTTAGTTAGTTTAACTCAAGTATTTTAATTCAAATATAACATATTACACTATTTTATTTTTGTAGGATTTTTGAAAACATTTAGTAATCCTTTTCAGCACAATCTCTGAAACACAGTTGTTTATTTTCAAAATGAAAATAAGCCATGCATTCAAATCTATTGTTTAATAAGCTTTCTCTAGCTCCAGTGACTATATTAAAATAAATGACATTAAGCAATCAAATGCCCATATTAACAGACAGCATCTGTACATTTATTTTGTTTTCTGGGGTGCTCCTAATCTACACAGGAGAGTTAAAAATAAATTCTATTCTTGCCAAGTTTAGAAGGGGAAAAACATACATTTTTTTTCCCATTGTTTTCATCTTAAAGACACTGTTCTCCTTAAGGAATTGACAGAACTTACCTTACTTTTATACCTCTGATCTCCCAGTTTTAACTGGACAAACATCTCTGCCACGCTTCCGCCTGAGACATTCCTTCCTTCCAACAAAGTTATACTTATAATCCCGTTCCAGAGTTGGTTCTTTTTCAAGGACTCTGAGAGCCGGAGGTTGCGTATCAAAGAGGACTAAAGCAAAGAAATAAAGATGACATATAAACTTGCTGATAATTCTTGAGTGTGACTTTGGTGATCAGAGGGGGTGGTCCAGCTTTCAATATTCATGAGAAACAGCACTCCCTGCCTAAGTGACTGCATTAATATTCTTCACTGGTTCTGTAAACCTGCAGTCACAGTTACGTGACTTCCTTCTCAAGCACTGGACTCGGAGCCTCCAGTGAAGGACGGATTCAAACAACATTTGCACCTGGCACCAGCCTTCATGACCACCCACACGTGCTCTTTGGCAGAATCTTCCAAATGGGCCTCTGGCTACTCTGACAGTAGGAAGGGAAGAAAGGCATTCTGGGAAACAGAGATATAAGAACCAGGCACTGCTCTGCAGGGAAACAAACCACCTCTGGGCATTTCGAAATTACGGCTTTGAGTTTATCCCTCACACTTGAATCTGTCCCCACCTCCCTTTATTTCTTGCTGTGCTCAGTCACTAAGTTGTATCCAACTCTTTTGCTGGCCCATGGGCCTCTTTGTCCATGGGATTTCCCAAGCAAGAAAACTGGAGTGGGGTGCCATTTCCTCCTCCAGGGAATCTTCCCGACCTAGGGGTCGAACCTGAGTCTCCTGTATCTCCTTCATTGCAGGAAGACTCTTTACTGCTGAGCCTTATCCCTTAGGGGACAACAAAAAAGCCTAATAATACTGCAAGATTCACAGGTCGAGATACAGCCTATAATCGGCTTGAGAGCCAAATGAGCTCTGCAGATCTGGTGGGAGGGGAAAGTTGAATAACAAATACAGACTAGGGCCTGGGACCCAGTAAGTGTTCAGTAACTGTTACCTTCTTTTTTTTTTTCCTTTTCTATATCACACACAGCTTAAACAGAATATAGAAGAAGGCAAATATCCCCTATAATTAAATCATAAAGAGGGCAAGCACACTTTATTTTTAATTTCCATTATGTAAATCTTCAAACACACACACACACACACACACACAGAGCCGCGCAACAAACCTCCATGTGCTTATTTTGTCAATCTTATCACATCTTTCCCTGCTTCACTAACGTTTTCTCTGGCTGAAATATCTGAAAGCAAAATACTTATCTGTTTTTACATAAGCACCATGCCATGATCACACTCCATGCAAGTAACGTCTATTCCTCTAATATCGTTAAATACCCTGAAGGTATGGACAGTGTCATTTTATGGTGAGTTTGTTTGAGTGAGAGTCCCTGACACGATCCACAGGCTGTGTTCAGTTGGCAGAATTCATTCGCATTCTCCATTCAGTAAGTGACTGCCATGAGGGTGGATGGCTTAATTTGAGGGAGAAATAAATGGGCTGAAGAATGTAGACAGGGTCGAGCATCACGGTAGAGCAATGAATTTCTAACACTATATATTCATTCCTGTCATCTGCTCACTATATCTTTGAGATCATTTAGGTATCAATTTGCTTGGACACCAGTTACTCACAATTCATCACAATGAATGGTATGTAAGTGCCGGGTTAATTACATGCCAGCTTACCTCATCCAACACGTCACTCCACCCCTCTTAATAAGTGATGCAATAATGCCGAGCATTTGGGTCATTTTATGATTTCCTTAAACAAAAATATTTTACGGAAATATATACTCCCAATTTCATATCTTGGTTGCTTTTCTCTGGAAACTGGAATTCACACACACACACACACACACACACACACACACACACACACACAGAGTTCTGAAGGTGCAGAAACAGAACAGGAAAGGGAGACGGGAAAATAATTTGTTTAAAAGAGAAAAAACCCTCTCCTCTTGAAAACAGGAACAATTCTTTCTCTAACTTCTATCTGAAGTTGGGGTTATACAAAGAATACATTCAATCATGAAAATCTATTAAATAAAGTTAAGTAACTTTGTATTTGTTAAAAACAATGCATACCACCAGAATGTATAGACAGGTGCATATATAAATACATATGTAGATGTGTTTATATTCTATGTCTGTGCATATAGATACATTTAAAACATTCTCTAGCTTACTAAGCACACAGGCTGAAAACTTCCATCTTTAAAAAGAAAATGAGAATTTGATTCATACATCCTGCTGCACTTTCTTTTTTTATGTTTCTTCTTCTTAAAGTTTGACTTGCCAGCCAATAAGATGAAGCATGACCTGTCCCAGGGCCATGCTTCAAAGTTCCGACAGATATATTCCTCCCTAAATACTGCAACTATTTCAAAATCCTTTTTATAAAGAAGGGAGTAATGTCCACAAGGGATCAAAGGGCATCCTACAGTCTGGCAATTGCCTAAGAAAAATGGCAGTGTTTCCATGAAATATGCCCTAAAATAATTTTGTGGCTTGGTATGTCCTAATTTCAAATTGGATGTTTATCTTGGAAAGGCTTCTATCTAACTTGTCCATAAAACAGCCCCACTTAGCTCTATGAGCTCTGTGAAAATGGAATCCAAAGCTGGTTATTAACGGGACTCAGAGATAGGTTCCATATGGCGGAACAGCATGGGAGGGCAAGGCAAAGGCCTACACCAGACCCGGCTTGGCTGGAGCTCCTGATCAATCCAGGGACACTCGTTGCATTACACTCTAACATCTGGATTATTGCTTGTAATGTCCCTGGGAAATATCCACTTTCCATCAAAGCCTTTATCTATCTCAGTCGGACTTTGAACATTTCAGCATTTAACGCAGTCATGTTTGATGTGATGGACTCGCTCTTTGTCGTCCAAGATTTTTTTTTCCCTTGCTAAAGGAGGGGTAAGAAAAGAGAAGTATTTATTGCACAGTTCACAGATAGAAAAGGACACAGGACTGTTATTCTACCTATTTTACCCTAAATATTTCTGCAAAGCCCTCTACAAGGTTATGTCCAAAAAACTGTTTCATGTGCAAGCGATGCAGTCTAGGATGTGAGCATGAGCTTTAAACACATTTCTTAATCCCTTTCGCCTTTCTCTTCCACTCTTGAGACTTGTGATGAGGATTAAGAGGGAGGGTCTGGGGTGGGGAGCAGCACCTGGGCCATCCTGTCTGTGCTCGGATGCAGAGCTGAGCTCTCCGGAACTTTTGCATTCCTCAAACACCCCCATTCTCCCCACCATAAATCGACTCCTCTGCACTCACTCTGTTAGCTCAATAGCTCAAGTTTTCACGTCTGTGCCCAAGCCCTGTAAGTGAAATTTGTCATCTTAATGCAGCCTGGAATGTGAAAGGAGAGAAGGAAATGACCCATCAAAGGGAGAAGCCCACCCCACCTAAGCTGAAACAAACACCGGGAGATAGCGCAAAGCTTCTGGGTCCTGACCCTAATTTCTCAGCAGACATAATGGATAAAATACAGCCCAGCAGGGTTTTGCTATTTTTCTCCTTCCTCCCAGAGGATCAGAACCTTTTACTATTTCTATGTGGATTCATTCATAGGCTCTCTTCCTTGGCCCCTACCCCTGCCAAATCTACTCCCAGAAAGTGTGACTTTTTCCTGACACATGCAACTTAGTTATGACTAAGGGAAAACAAGTTAGGATATTTAACTTAGAAACATTCTAACTTTCATAAAAAATTAAACAGATTCCCAAACATTCATTTACTCCCAGGTCATGAGAATTTCACAGGAAGGCAAAGAAGACAGGGAGAGAGACAGAAGATACAGGCTGTGGGGCTTTTCTGCTCACTTCCAGCAGGTGGAGAATTCTCAGGAGTTTCTGATCTAGGAATATACTCTCAGAACAGTGGACTGGACTCCCCTGGTGGCCCAGTGGTTAAGAATCCACCTGTCACTGCAGGGGATGGGGGTTCCATTCCTGGTCTGGGGAGACGCCACATGCTGTGGGGCAACCAAGCCCATGTGCCACAGCTACTGACGACTGCTCACCCTCGAGCCGTGCCCCAAAAGGAGAGAAGCTACTCCAATGAGAAGGCCATGAACCCCAACTAGAGAGGAGCCTCCGGTCATCACAGCTAGAGAAAGCCCATGTGTAGCAACGACAACCAAGCTGAGCCCCAAAGAAAGAAACAGTGAATAGATTTTTCCTTCCTGGGACATAAAAGAAAAAGGATTACAGATTGGCAAATATACTTATTGGAGGATTCTGGCCAAGCAGCATGCTGTGAAGATGGCAAAGTGGATTCCAGGACCACAACTACTCAGCGTGGTTCCAAAGGAAACCCTAGGATGGTGGATGTAACAGCTTGATGTCTCTTGTCCATCCCAAGCCAGGAAGAACAGCAGAAAAGTCAGGTATAAAGAAGGATCCTGGCAGGGAGGCATAGAGTTCAGGAGCTGGGGAAACACCTACAGTCATCAAAAGCAATGTGATAGCCAGTGACTGTTGTTGTTTAGTCATTAAGTCAAGTCCACCTCTTTGCAATCCTATGGACTGTAGCCCACCAGTCTCCTCTGTCAATGGGATTTTCCAGGCAAGAATACTGGAGTGGGTAGCCATTTCTTTCTCTAGTGATGCCACCATTGATAATTAACTATGCCAACCAATACCACTGGGTATCAACTCAAAGCATTCCCCTGGGTGGCAAAAAATACCAAAACATATGATTATCTCAATAGATGCAGAAAAAGCCTTTGACAAAATTCAACATCCATTTATGATTAAAACTCTCCAGAAAGCAGGCATAGAAGGAACATACCGCAACATAATAAAAGCTATATATGACAAACCCACAGCAAGCATTACCCTCAATGGTGAAAAATTAGAAGCATTTCCCCTGAAATCAGGAACAAGACAAGGGTGCCCACTCTCACCACTACTATTCAACATAATTTTGGAAGTTTTGGCCACAGCAATCAGAGTAGAAAAAGAAATAAAAGGAATCCAGATAGGAAAAGAAGAAGTGAAATTCTCACTGTTTGCAGATGACATGATCCTCTACATAGAAAACCCTAAAGACTCTACCAGAAAATTACTAGAGCTAATCAACAAATAGAGTAAAGTTGCAGGATAATTAATTAACACACAGAAATCCCTTGCATTCCTATACACTAA